TGGGTCACTGCATAACACTGTGTTGAGTAATATGTTTATATGTTAATTTATGATTGTTTATTTTGTTACAGAAAGAAGAGATTTAATAAAAAGATGTGTTATGCAGTAATTTATTTATGTTATAATAAATGCTGTGGCCTGTTCATCCATACTAAGTTGTTTGTCGTTATTGGGGATTTTAATGGGGCTAGATTTGTTCTAGGCTGCATCGCGATTCCCCACTACATACATACAAGTATGTGGAATGAAGTGAGCAAGTTTTAAGGTCTCAACCTCCCCTGCTCTAAAGGGTTAACATTAGATTACCTGTTAGGTCATGCCCACCAAGAGAGGAAAAGGTTGGCTGGTGATAAGCATTGGAAGGAAAAGGAGATTATGCTGAGGGGGGAGGTGAGAGGAAGTGGTACATAGGCGCATGGTCAGTTTATTGGCAAGAATGGTTGGGTTCACTGTATGACACTATGTGTTAAATTATATGTTAATTTATGTTTAACGTTTGGTTACAAAAAAGAAAAGATTATTAAAATAAATTATGTATGTGTTATACAGTAATTATCATATGTTATAATAAATGCTACGGCCTGTTTCATCCATACTACGTTGTCTGTCATTATTTGGGTGAATTGGGTTAGTTTGTGTATTATGCTGCATCGCGATTTCCCACTACGTACATACAAGACTCTTTGTTGAGGGTGAAGTAAGACTGATTTTAATGGAGCCACAGCTGGCTTTTTATGCAGGTCCCCATGCAAGGGGTTTCTGGTGACACATTCCAGGGGCATTCCCCACTGGACCTGAGAGGGGAAAGCAACATAAGCACATATAGGTGATACTAGAAAAATTAGAATATTGTGCAAACGTTCATTTATTTCAGTAATGCAACATAAAAGGGGAAACTAATATATGAGATCTGCAAAGCAATAAACTCCATTACATGCAAAGCAAGATAGTTCAAGCCGTGATTTGTCATAAGTGCGAAGATTATGGCTTACTGCTCATGAAAACCCCAAATCCACAATCTCAGTAAATTAGAATATTATGAAAAGGTGCAATATTCTAGGCTCACAGTGTCCCACTCTAATCAGCTAAGTAAGCCATAACACCTGCAAAGGGTTTCTGAGCACTTAAATGGTCTCTCAGTCTGGTTCAGTAGGAATCACAATCATGGGTTAGACTGCTCACCGGACAGCTGAGCATAAAACCATAATTGACATCCTCCATAAGGAGGGAAAGCCTCAACAGATAATTGCGAAGGAAGTTGGATGTTCCCAAAGTGCTGTATCAAAGCACATTAATAGAAAGTTATGTGGAAAGGAAAAGTGTGGAAGAAAAAGGTGCACAAGCAGCAGGGATGACCGCAGCCTGGAGTGGATTGTCAGGAAAAGGCCATTCAAAAGTGTTGGGGACTTTCACAAGGTCAGTGCATCAAGAGCCACCACACACAGACGGATCCTGGACATGGGCTTCAGATGTCGTATTCCTCTTGTCAAGCCGCTCCTGAACAACAAACAACGTCAGAAGCGTCTTACCTGGGCTAAAGAAAAACAGACCTGGTCTGTTGCTCAGTGGTCCAAAGTCCTCTTTTTTGATGAAAGCAACTTTTTCATCTCATTTGGAAACCAAGGACCCAGAGTCTGGAGGAAGAATTGACTGCAAGATGCTTGAAGTCCAGTGTGAAGTTTCCACAGTCTGTGTTGATTTGGGGAGCCATGTCATCTGCTGGTATTGGTCCACTGTGCTTCATTAAGTCCAGGTTCAATGCAGCCATCTACCAGGAGATTTTGGAGCACTTCATGCTTCCTTCTGCAGACAAGCTTTATGGGGATGCTGACTTCATTTTCCAGCACTGTCCACACTGTCAAAAGAACCAAAGCCTGGTTCAATGACCGTGGGATTACTGTGCTTGATTGGCCAGCAAACTCGCCTGACCTGAACCCCATAGAGAATCTATGGGGCATTGCCAAGAGAAAGATGAGAGATATGTTACGGTATAACCCGGTATAGTGAGGGTTAATACCGATTTGGGGATTCACCTTTACAAGGAAACAGCAACTCACGAACGCTCTAACCCACCAAACGGACCGGCGTTCGTATGCTGGATGACAAAGAAGGGAGGTCGGCGGCTTCAGCGGTGTTCGGGAGAAAAAGTGTTAGTTTTGGGTTCCAGGAAATCGTCGACGAACACTGCTGTTCATTTGACGTCCATGGCTGCTGCCTTGTGGTCAGCATATGAACGACGACCACCCAGCATACGGTTGTCAATTAAGAGGTGTCTGCGGTTAACCACAACGTTCTAATGAGGCCAAGAGGTTAACTGGCAGCACACTTCTCTTCTGGGTGGCCGGCTGTTCGGTAGTTTGTTCAGGAGTTTGAGGAAATAAACGAACGGGGGAGTACGGGCAGGCAGTTACACGAATATACACGAACCAAACGGGATTGCAGTATACTTCCAAGACAGAGGGATCTGTCACAAGACATGAGACCGAACAATGCAGAAGAGCTGAAGGCCGCTATTGAAGCATCCTGGTCTTCCATTACACCTCAGCAGTGCTACAGGCTGATAGCTTCCATGCCACGCTGCATTGAGGCAGTAATTGCTGTAAAAGGGGCCCAAACCAAGTACTGCGTCCATATGCATGCTTATACTTTTCAGAGGTCCGATATTGTTCTATGTACACTCCTTGTTTTATTGATTGCATGTAATATTCTAATTTACTGAGATTGTGGATTTGGGGTTTTCATGAGCTGTGAGCCATAATCATCGCACTTATGACAAATCACGGCTTCAACTATCTTGCTTTGCATGTAATGCGTCTCTCTCATATATTAGTTTCCCCTTTTATGTTGCATTACTGACATAAATTAACTTTTGCACAATATTCAAATTTTTGGAGTAACAACTGTACATAATTACATTACCTCTTAGGTCCAGGACATGCATTATAAAAATACCCCAAAACACATATTTAACAATGAGGTACCCTTCAAGTCATATATCCCCGGATAGCCTGGATCTGAGCGCCCAACATATGTCGAAATCACTCATATCCCACTAATAAAGCCGAAACGCCACCAGGGTATAGTTTAGACCAACCGCAACAAGGCGCCTGCCCAAAATAGTTACATGAAATCAGGCTGTGAGGTCGGTCGGTCAAAATACCACTTATAAGGCAAATAGTTGTACGTGCATCCATTACCATCTACTGAACGCTGTTCCTTTCCCGTGGATTATACCGAACATCGAGTGTCTGATTCTAGTTCCATACACTCGACGACCAAACATCGCTGGCTGCATTCTTATGCCAAGATGGCCGCCGCCACGTGTTCTTACATACAAACGACAACCACCCAGCCGACTGTAAGAATATTAAATAGTTAACTTGTTTATATGTATTTTATGCTTTTATAAGGTTTATAACATGATTATTGCTGACTGAAGGGATATTGAATACTTAAAGTCAATATGCTGACTGTGACAGACTAAGGTATTTCTTCTATAGGATGTAAGACAATGCTAAATTTCAGGATGTCTTGCCCATTCCGATTTTAAGGATATTCTTTTCCAGACGTATGCAAAAGCTTATCTTTCCATTGTCAGAATAACGTAATACAAGGAAGTAATAAATCTTATAGTCTGTACTGTATTTGCATATACCATGGCTAATGTAAGCAAACTATGTATAAAAGCCAGCTCTGGAATACACTCATTTGAGAGTCTTGTAAAGCTGTTGTCCGTGTGTTATTGCTTACAAATGATTCTCCATCAACGTTGATTATGGTGACCGAGGGATCGAGAACCGAGGGGATTAGAGTCCATTACAACATTAACCCTTTCAGCTTGGTGTCTAGAAGTGGGATAGAAGTTGGATCAGCAAAACCATTTGCGGTGAGTAGCCTTTTTGTGTCTTATTTGACGCTGATTGTCTATGACCCCCTTTGGTTCAGTAAGACTGTATCCAGTAGATAGGAAAGGTGTAAGGACTCTAGTTATATTGAGACCATGAGAGGTCTCCGGTTTATATTGAGACTATAAGAGGTCTCCGGTTTATTAGACATTTGGTCTAAATATATAGGGTTTTGGTAACCCAGGTTAGTATCTAAGATAGATACAGGTTTTTGAGACCATAAGAGGTCTCCGGTTTATTAAGTCTATAGGTGTTCTGAGCAGCACGGTTTGTATAACCCAAACTTCTCTTTCTCCCGGTCACCTTTGTTTGTCTTAAGTGTTTTTTGTGGGTGATTGTTTGTCTATATTGGGGACACACTTTGGTAAGTTAGTAGTGTCCCCACTCTGAGTCAGCAGTATGGGAAATGTGAGTTCAGGTCCTGAGTGACCAATATATGTATGTATATATGTGTGTGTATATGTATATGTGTATATATAAGATAGCAGTACTTTTAAACAAATGGAGGTTTTAAAAATACATAGGGATTAAGGAGAGAACGCAGGTAACTTGTTTTTCTTTGGTTTTTACCATATATTGGGGCTGATGTGTACTGTAGTCCTTGCTGCTGTCCAGTAGTGATGGGAGTGAGCGCAGGACTTATCTTTCTGCAAGATAGCAGTACTGTATATTAGAAAAGAACTGACTCACAGGTTGTACCTGATAGACCTACTTAAATCTTTTTACTTTATTCTTTCTGTCGCATAGAAGTATAAGTTTATTACTCTGTTTTATTGTAAGTTATTTCACATGGGAACTGTGTGCCTGGAATGATTGTTGCTTTAAAAATACTATAAGCCGACTACACTTATTATGAGAGTGGGATAGTGTAAATGTGTTACATTGTTTGCATGATGAGCTCAGTATATTTTATAACTGAGACAGAAAGTCACTTCATTAGTATTTGAAAGTTAATTCCCCATATGGGATTAATTGTATAGAAACACCAATCAGCACATCTTCCCTGTCCTGTGTGTTTGTTGCAAAGGATCCATACTGTAAATATGATTTATGTTTGAAAATAACAGAGCAACATTTACATTTTCAGCGGTCCAACACATGCTTTATTTTGCACTGTAAACTAACCTTTTTATTGCAACAGGTTCCTTTTAAATGATCCAGTGTAATAACTACTGCTTGTGTCTTCTATGTCTCACATTATGTGTTCTTTTAAATTGTGGTATATAGCCTGAATCAGACATCATGGACAAAAGGTTTTTACCTGTATTACAAAGGGCTCTTGGAGACTGACCGGTCTAAAGGTTTGCCATGCCTTTAAAACATGGTATAGTATAAATTTTTTAAGTCTCTGAGAGTTCTGAAAGATTCAGGTGAAACCATGTCTGTTTAATCTGGTCCAGATGTTCGTTCAATTTCTATAGGATTTAAGTTGATGCAGCATCATCTCAGATTAGTTAATGGTAGTTTTATACAAATAGTTGAGTTATGAGCGCGCTATATAAATGGATCCTTTCTTTAAATACAATACTATAGTAGATTAAAGTAATGAAGTTAATTAAGAAAATGTATACATAAGAATCCCTAAAATAAATCTAAACTAAAATTGGTATACCTTCCAATAATATGTTCTGAATACAGCTGTTAACTGTTTATTTTGTGTAAATGGTGATTGTGATAATGTGTGAAGTGTGCAGTTTAACTTGAAAGTGGTTTAATTTATATGTTGCTGTATTGTTTTAAATTATATGTGAATCAGTTTGTCACAGTCTAGTGATACTGATAAGAATGACAGCCAAATAACCTAGCAAATAACTGTTTTATTAGTTGTTGAATACTAGCGTTTTGGCCAAGAATAGTTGGAGATTTGGAGGTGTTAGTTTAAGATTGCTTTTATATTGTGTGTATCCGTGTTTCCTAGGAGGGAGACAGAGTGTGTAGTTGTGTGCCCATAAATGTGATTTCTGTATTGGCATATCTGCTGGGTACCCATTATGTGTTTCTACAAAGATATTGCTTTGTGAGATGACGTGTAATATTACATGGGATGCTGAGTATGAGTTATATGGTTTGAAATGAATTGGTGATTATGAGCTTAGTACTTCAGTAAGATGTGCTAAAATTTGGAACAAGGTGGAAGCTGAAATGTTGGGATTATGGAAGAATAAGCAGTCTATATTCACTGCTTTGGCATATAAGCAAGATGCAAAGGAAGAGATTGGTAATATGATTTTTGTAAAGAAATTTTACAAGTGTTGGAAGGATGAGGCAGGTTTGATGTCTGGAGATGATATAGATATCTTTAAAATACAGTCATGCCTTGGTAATATGTTGCCACAGTATTATTTGCTTGTGAAACAATTGATTTCAGACTGGGCCAATTTGGATAGCTCAGATTTTCTTACCAAGGTTATAGAAAAGGAAAATGCAGGTTGTTTTGAATTAAGAAAAGATTTAGGAAAGTAAGGTTGCTTATTATGCTCAGGGATTGCCACCTACACAGGCTGAGAGCGAGGATGGGATGGAGCACATAAAGCCCGTGGAAGGGGTGGTCAAAGAGGGGCAAGGGGATTGAGACAGGGAAATCAGGGTTATAGGGGCAGGGGTAACCAAGGAGGAATAGACAGGAACACTTGTTTCAACTGTGGACAATATGGCCACTGGAGGAATGAGTGTCCCCACCCCAGGAAACCCCATCAAACCCCACACACCCCACCAACCCCACAATTCTCAAAATATGCCCTGTAGGCAAGAACAACACCAGACCCACTCCCAACACCACTGGCCAGCATATCGCTTAGTTCAGGACTTTAGAGCCCTGAATAGTTTAATTGTGCCCATTTCACCCATTGTCCCTGATGTGACATCCCTCATTACAGCCATTCCACATGATGCCACTTGCTTCACTGTCATTTGATTTAAGTAATGCATTTTTTTCTATACCTATTGATCAAGAGACACAGCTACTTATGGTTTTTACTTTTTGAAGGCTGTCAGTTTACCTGGACACGCTTACCCAAGGCTATGTGGATTCCCCAGCTGTTTATTCGTTGGTACTCCAACATACTCTAAACAACATGGACCACCGGTCATGGTTCCGTCCTTTTTTGCAAAATGTTGATGATTTGTTGTTATGTAGCCCTAGCTATGAGGCAAGCACTGTGGATACTGTCAGCAACTGTAGGTCACAAGGTTGTTAAACACAAAATGCAATTGTGTAAATCAAAGGTTGAATACTTAGGTTTTGTTCTGGCTTTAGGCACCAGACAATTGAGTCCAAAATGTATTGAGGTCATTCAGAGGATTCCTACACCCACTACTCGGAAGGAGTTGCTCACCTTCCTCGGCATGATTAATTACTGCCGCCAATGGATCCCTGAATGCTCCCATTATAACTCAATCCTAAGGGAGGCTGTACGTTCTGACAGCCCTGAAAATGTCTGCTGGTCACCAGACATGCTAGCTGCATATATTGCCCTTACAGTTGTTATTGTGCAAGCCCAGGCTTTAGGACTACCTGTGTATTGTAAACCATTTCATTTGTATGCTTGGGACAATTGTAAAACCATGGCCGCGTCTGTGCACAAGAGCAAGGAGGCGGTATGCGTCCCATAGCATTCTTTTCCAAAGTAGTTCGAGCTCCGGTACAGGGTATGCCGGCGTGTCTCAGAGCATTGATAGCATGTGCAATGGCTGTTGAAACTGCTACTACTATCACACTAGGGCATCCTACAATACTTCATGCCAGTCACCAGGTCACTCAGCTGATAACAAATCTCACCACACAACACATGACAGCCCAGCGCTTCAGTGGTTATGAGATTCTTTTTTTTAATACCCAGAATCTGTCTTTTGGATTAAACAAGGTTTAGAGAAAGATCAAAATGATCTGTTCTCTAAAGAGGGGAGAATAGGCATACTTGAAGAATAGGCATACTTGAAGCAAGCTGATTTATTTTCATCAGTCAGGCACATAGCAAGCACCATTCAATTCCTCATGAATTCATTTTATATTAGGAATCTCAGGCAGCATGTACAGTCTTTTGTAAGATCGTGTGAACGCTGCTCTTTTTACACACTTACAGATTGATTTTATTCATGTATCCAAAATTGGTAAGAAACAGCAATACTTACTGGTCATAGTTGATCAGTTTAGTAGATGGCATGAGGCCTTTGTGACATCTAGGGAAGATGCTAGTGAAGATTATTGTTACTGAAATTATTCCCCGGTATTGCTGCCCTCTGCAGATTGGCTCTGATAATGGCCTAGTTTTTGCCAGTGGGGTTGCCCAGGAACTTGCTAAATTCTTGCAAGTTACCTGGCAGTTTCATATACCCTATCATCCACAGAATACAGGGGTAGTTGAAAGGATGAATAGGACTATTAAGGAAAAGCCCAGAATTTACCCAGGAACATGGGTAAATTGGACTAGATATCTACCAGCTATTTTAGCTGAGATAAGAATATATCCCCACAAGATGAATTGTTGATAAAACCGAATGGAATGTATGACAATGTTTCTTCGCAGTTTTCCCTTACCTTCACAGGAACCTACTCATTCATACCAGCCCGGTGACAAGGTGTTTATCCGTCAGCTGAACAGGACCAAGAAAGGAGGATACCCTTTTGGACCACCTGCTACTGTGATTGCTGTACCCAGAACCGCTGTCCTCACAGATTCCCATGACATCTGGATTCACGCATCCCGAGTGAAGCTGTGTCCAAAGAGGGGAACCAAGGAAGACAACACCACTCCTCGCTCGGAAACAGAAGAATTTCTCCTCAGCGAAGCATCATGGTTTTTACACCATATCGTAGATTGAGAGGATCATATGTACCTGAGACCAAGATTATGTTGTGCGCTATGCTTTCTGGAGTTGTTATACTCCCTCTGATATTGTTCCTTGAATGCCATTATGAGTACAAGTCAATGGCAAGTTCTGGAAAAAGACTCTGACATGATGAACAATTCTTCAATACCCCCAGCCCAATTAGGCCTTAGCCCCTCATCTAGCATTCGTCACACACGCCCCCTCAAGAACCTTTCTCCACCACCTTTCTATCAGCATGTAATATGCAATCATTCATTCACTGAACGCATTTGGATGAATTGGACAAATAATAACCCTTATAAGTACCAGTTACCCATATGGAATGTGTCTACAGCTAATGAAACCGATGCATTATGTTTGTTTGAAGGTTCACAGAAAATTGTTAGATCTTATAACGCAGAAATGTGCACAGTTAAGGTTGCATATCAATGTAAATAGACAGGCCTTATTACTTTTAATAATGATTATATAACTGGTATCATTAATTGGAGAAGGGGACAAATGTTAGTCAATATGAACAACACTACAATTGAGAACTATACACTACCTTATATTTTTACACCTTATTACTGTCCTTTATCCTCTACCATAGAACCAAAAGTCAACCACGACACACACACACCTATTCCATCCACATGTGTTAATACAACTGCCTTCTTACAAGCTGTACATGTGTCATTAAAAATCACTACTCCTGTTGTAACATTATGTAATACAACAAACAAAGGCAGAAAAGGGAATGGTATGACACACTGTTAGGAGGTGCTGGAACCACTATGGGTATACTAAATAGTTATAGATATGGAGACCCTCAAGAATAAGTTAAACACAGCCAGTATGCATATAGGGACTGGTTTCCATGCTACTGCAAACTGGGCTCCAATTGTTGTTAAATCACAGGTTATAGGATTGGATTTAGATAAATCAATGTATAATTATTTAGATAATTTAACTGTTGCAACTATGAAATTCACTACAGGTCTAAGTAACTGGAGTACTTGTGCCATCAGGTATTTATGGATACAACAACAAGGATTGGCATTAGAAAACGCACTAATGATTCCCCAAACTAGAGAAGATTAGAGGAAAGCGTAACCTCACAGATAATGAATGGTTACTTCTAAAACCCCAATCCAGTAAATGCAATGGATGGTTAACTGGTAATGTTTCACATATTTCATGCTCTTGCTATTTTACATTATATCATACATCAAAGGATGTTAAATTAGCTTGTCAATTTAACACATTACCAGTACCAGTTTATGATCTTTTTGCCAAGAATTTAACCTGGTGGGCACCCACATACACAGGGGACTATATTTTTCCCAAAGATAACATACACAGGTAGCCACACATATCCTAAAAGGAGAACTCCTTAAGGTGAGTTCACAAATTCAGAATGATTTAGCCTATCATTGGTACGATGCTTCACTGGTTGGTCCCCTACTGGATCCCAGATAATGAAATCATTCTTCTATCATTTTTTTATTATAGTCCTGATTTTATTGTGTATGATTTTATATAACTGTCACCTTACTTGTACATTGAGGAAGTGAGTACAGAAATTAATCCATAATGCAGAACAGAAACAATTAGAAATTCTCCTCTCTGCCACTGTAGAGTATCAACCCATCTTTAAACTGGGCCTTAGGAATTACCACATGGGAATCGAGGTGAAGAAATTAATGAAAGTCCCGCAGGGAGTGACTAGCACCCCTGAAAATACCATGTGGAAGTTTCTCTGTCCTGGTAAGATTTTATCGATAAGATGAGCAATTGTTTTATTGCTCAAAGAGGGGAATGTAAGAATATTAAATAGTTAACTTGTTTATATGTATTTTATGCTTTTATAAGGTTTATAACATGATTATTGCTGACTGAAGGGATATTGAATACTTAAAGTCAATATGCTGACTGTGACAGACTAAGGTATTTCTTCTATAGGATGTAAGACAATGCTAAATTTCAGGATGTCTTGCCCATTCCGATTTTAAGGATATTCTTTTCCAGACGTATGCAAAAGCTTATCTTTCCATTGTCAGAATAACGTAATACAAGGAAGTAATAAATCTTATAGTCTGTACTGTATTTGCATATACCATGGCTAATGTAAGCAAACTATGTATAAAAGCCAGCTCTGGAATACACTCATTTGAGAGTCTTGTAAAGCTGTTGTCCGTGTGTTATTGCTTACAAATGATTCTCCATCAACGTTGATTATGGTGACCGAGGGATCGAGAACCGAGGGGATTAGAGTCCATTACAACATTAACCCTTTCACCGACCGCTTAGAACGTTGAGGTGTTTGTGGTTCTGCAGGTGTTAAGAGGGGTCAATAAGGTTAACAAGCACCACACTCCACATCTTGGTGGTAAGTTGGTCAGTAGTTATTTTATTAATCGAACGAGCAATGTTGATATAGGGACTAGCCATATTTGGCCGAACGGATAGGCAAAGGGAATAAAATAAACTTTAAAATCCAGGCACAAAGGGTCTGTCACAGCTACTACTACATGCACATGCTATTACTACATGCAACAGGCTACCACTAAATGCTAAAGGCTACAACTACACCCTGGAGGTTACCACTTCACACAACAAACTACCACTACATGCACCACACTACCACTACATGCAACAAGATACTACTACAGGTTACCACTACATGCAACAAGCTATCACTACATGCAACATGTTACCACTACATGTAACACAGTATCACTACGTGCAGCAAGCTACCATTACATTCAACACAATACCATAACATTCAACCACTACATGCAAAAAGCTACATAACAAGCTACCATTACATGCAACACAATACTACTACATGCTACAGGCTACCACTACACACAACAAATTACACTACATGCAACAGGCTACTGATACATGCACTAGGCTTCTTCAGCATCCTGTAGGCTACTGCTGCACTCTAGACGATACTTATGCACACTAAATTCCATTGGTATACACTATGTGCCATTGGAGTATACTACATGCCATTGGCGTAGTAAACTCCAATGCACATAGTATATTGGTGTATAATACTGTAGTGGAGCTCCCTATACCCCGACTGGGTACCTCTGCCAAGGATCGCTTCCTAGCTGGAACCAGAGAAAACCACAGCGCTTCTGCCCCAGTCACCGTGGTTTGACTTGGGTCAGGATAGGGGACTAGTTTTATTCCCTCCAAGAGACTGGACGACACACTGTCCTGGGAGCTATAGTCCTTACAAAGACTTTCCCCGCTAAATCCACCACAAACTGGAACAAAGTACTGAGCAGTGATTATATCCCTTCCCCTCCAAGTAACTAGACAACACATAGTTCAGGGAGTTCAACTGATTTTAATGAGCCAAACTCAGCCTTTTATGCATAGACCCCAGCAAGTGGTCTCCAAACAATACAATACAAGCTCCGCCCAGATTTTGCTGTGCCTGGGAGATAATTGAGTTAAAGTAAGTCAATTGTCTCCCAGGAACAGAGAGCCAAAGAATAAAAAAATAAAAGTACCCCAAAACATTATAAAAACACAAAGTAACCCCATGTCCTACAGCGCCCAAGTTGTCCAAGTAGCGCTCAGATCCATGCAGTACAGGAAACGTTCTGACCGACCGCACAAGTGGTTTTATGCCCAAAATAGCTCCAGGGCAATGTGTGCTTTGGCCGGTCTTTTTGTGGGAAATATGGGGTTTTCTACCTGGCTCTCAGGGAGCATTTCATTCTTCTTAGTCTCACGCACCTTCCATCTAAAAAGCACTCTCCTGGTGGGTCGCAAAGTGGTTCAAAACGCTGGACCAAGTTGTCCGGGAACCGCAAGTTCCATAACAATCGTGGCTAAGTTCGGTTTGGTTTAATTCGTATGAAGGGAAAGTGCTGAACCAGGGGCACCCAGGGTAAGCTGCTAATGGAGGCTGGGCAGGGTAACTCCCAAAATGGGTCTCAGACCTGGACCATAGTCAATGGGCAGGAGGCCAGCTTCCACACTCCTCCAGAAGCTCGTGGCAATTGATCATGAAAAGGAGCGGGTGTCACAACCATGTGCCATTGGTGTATACTAAAGGGTATTGGTGTATACTACGCATCGTTGGTGTATACTACGCACCATTGGTGTATACTACAGGCTATTGGCGCATACTATTATTATTATTATTGCAATTTATAAAGCGCACACAGATTCCGCAGCGCTGTACAATTAGTTGAGAAACGTACAATATACACAAACAAATACAAGAGGTAAGAGAGCCCTGCCCATAAGCTGATATCTAGCCATTGGAGCTCTTTTATACAAAGTGCTTAGCTAGATGGCCCTTGAGCTTACAATCTAAAGGATACCAGGGGGATTTGAGACAAAAGGTAGCAGGGGAAGTTTGGAGGTGATGGCTGAAAGAGTTAACAGAGAAGCAGCTATTGGTAAGATGTTAGGGGAAAGAACAGGTAATTGGGTGAGAATCTCGAACAGCTGGAGGAGCATGATATATATTTAAGGGGAGCCGGGGAGAGTGGGTGGGAAGTGGGGAGAAAAAAATGCAGTCTTCACTGAGTTGATTGTGAAGTGAGGCCTGAGGAATAGAGATAGAACAGTCATATGAAGGTATTTACGACTGAGGGGGGGGCAGAGTAGGCATGTGTTATAGACTATTGAAAAGTGTAGCAATCAAATTCTATCACCCAAAATATTAATAACTGTCTACATGAAATATTGGTCAGAAACATTAAATGACAGTGGTACACACTGCATGCACATAACATTACAGTGGCAAACTACAGGTATCAATTGTAACAACTCTATAGTAACACATGAGAATTTTGTAGCAATCCAGTAATACGGGAGGTGGAGTATCTTCCAAGCTTCAGTCAGTACCTGAGAGTGATGGGTGTTTCTGCAGGATGGTAAATGCAGTCTTCACTGAGTTGATTGTGAAGTGAGGCCTGAGAGTGATGGGTGTTTACTATGCACCATTGGTGTATACTATGCGTCATTGGGGTATACTATGTTCCATTGGTGTATGCTACGTGTCGTTGGTGTATACTAACTGCCGTTGGCGTATACTAACTGCCATTGGTGTATACTAACTGTCGTTGGTGTATACTAACTGCCGTTGGTAAATTTAAGCATTCACAGTGATCACAGGTTATTTTGGGTTACTAATTCTATCTTCACTTCTAGTAACAACAATACCCATCATCCTACGTTACATCTTGACTCAAGGAGCTCCTGGTGTTACTCGGTTATTACACGACATGGGATTATTATATGACCTCGATGTAACAGACAGCGTTAAACTAAGACACGGCACGTCCCTTTATTTCTGTGTCTGTGTTTTTGTAAATAATGCATTCTCCTCATTGAGCTCCTTATCTCTTGTGCCATCACGTTGGTAAGGTTGATAAAGCCAAGCAGCCAGCGGTGAGCAACGAGGCCAAGAAACCATTTAAAGAAATCTTTATTTAATGACCCCACTGCTGTCTTTGTGCTCTGTGATACAATCCCTGCCGAGGGCCTGAGGATACAAGTCAGAATGAATAATACAGATTATTGTCACTTCATTCCTGAGCTGCACAAACCTGAGTTAACTCTTTACTGATCTGATCTTTCATTACGGCCTCCGATCGGAGAAAGACTTTCTATCCTTAAAGCGGCACTGTCATGCCGAACTTACCTTTCCTCAAACTCTTCCTCTTCTCCCCCTCTCTCGGGATCTGTTCTTCTTTTCTTCCTGTCTTCTTCAGTTTTCTTTAAAATCATTAGACAAAGTAGGGACTCTTTGCTTTATGGAGGATTCCTCCGCTTGACCAGCTCTGACCAGCGGAGGAGCAAAGTGTGCTTCATTTCCGCTGGTCAGAGCAATTTTCCCATGATCCTTACCTTCCCTCTGTGTTCCCGCGATGCTTCCTGTCACTTTACACAAAACTGCCGAATTGCGTTCTAACTGAATGACAACAGTCTGTTCGTTTCTTTTAGAACGCAATTCGGCATTTTATTCGGATCGCGATTTCATTCGAATGAATGAAACTCTGATCCTATTCATGCTGTGGCTGCATCTTGCAGCTGCTTAGTAGATAACTCCCTAATTCCCACAGTATCAGGGAGCTATCTACTAAAAGGCTGAAAGACCTAAATTGGTCTTTCAGCCAACTTTACTAATACCAAGTAAA